AAGGAGCCTTGTTGCTCATAATTGGTACATCCCTGCTTTTGCTATTTATAAATGAAAGACTTGGAAACACTGCATCTCTATCATTTTCAGAGCAGTCAAACCGGAAAACTCCATCCTCCAAGATGGGCTGAAAAATCATTTTCCCCGCAGTGGAGTCTGATGTTGCTACTTTTACTTCAGAATCAGCCATGTTAGATACTCGTTTTCTCCCTGTAAGCTTCTTGCTATAACTCTTCTTTCTGCATTCCAAACTCTTTATTAGAAGAAGCTGAAACAATATAACATATCGCTTTATAAAGAAGCCAAGAAAAGAATAATGCTAGAAGAGTGGCATTAACACTACATGCGCACTCAGACTTTCACATCGACACACAAATATAATTGCAGAATCTTTCTATAATCAAATCTCTGCAGTCATAAAAAAAGCCTGAATACATCCTAAGATAAACAAACAATCCAGGAAAAACTCAAAAAATATCAATCGTCACAGATATAGTGGTTTTCTGAGCAGCAGTTACTGAAACATACCCTTTAAGATCGATGAGACTGTATGGAAAGGAATAAAATCAAAGGTGCAACTGAGGAATGTTGTGAAAGTTAAAGCAACAGAGCTTTAAGATTGAAGTGATCCGGTTATTTTTGTACTTAAGTTAACCGTCTCAGGAGAGAGAAGCATCTAGTTTATTTTGTTTTCTGTGAATAATAGTCCCTTTTTCATCATCATCTTCCTCGTTGATGATGTGACGTAAGTATTGCATCCCATTTTTCATTTTCGACAAACCATAAAACCAGAAGCAAGACCGAATATGATCGAGAGAAGCAAACAATCAAATAAACTAGATTTAAAGCAAAAAAAAATCAACCAATAATTTTGCAAAAAACAGTAAAACCAGAAGCAAAACTGAATATGATCGAGAGAAGCAGACAATCAAATAAACTAAATTTAAATAAAAAAAATAACCAACCAATAATTTTGCAACAAACAGTAAAACCAGAAGCAAGACTGAATATGATCGAGAGAAGCAGATAATCAAATAAACTAAATTTAAAGAAGAAGAAAAAAAGAATAACGAACCAATAATTTTGCAACAAACATTAAAACCAGAAGCAAGACTGAATATGATCTAGAGAAACAGACAATCAAATAAACTAAATTTAAAAAGAAAAGAAAAGAAAAAAGAACAACCAACTAATAATTTTGCAACAAATAGTAAATCCAGAAACAAGACTGATATGATCAATTGAAACAAAGAAGCAAACAAACTAAATTTACAGCAAGACAATTAGAATCAACTCAAAACCCTGAATCCGAAATCCACATTCCAATCTCTATTCAAAATCAAATAAAAAGCGAATTTGGATAATGCTCCCCCAGCAAATTGAAGAACAGTGTACAAGAAGGAGAAACGTGAAAGCAGATACCAAACAAACCTGAAGAAAAACTTGGTTGTTGATGACGATGATGGTGGAGAGGAATTAGAGTGAGTAAATACGCAGCGACAAAACGATAATTTCAAGGCTCCTTCCACCCTATCACTGTTGCTAAGGGCCACTGTGGACATTTCCATTTAACTGCAATAAAAATCTGCAAACTGCAAAGCACCACTATCACCAACAGCAGAAAAAACAATAATAAATAAATAATTTCTGTTCGGAAATAATCCACATGGCTACCCGCCAAACTCAATTACTCTGGCCTAAACATATCTTTCGTACTTTGGACCTTTTCAAATCTGCTCCGAATTTAAATTCTTATTTAATTTAGGCTTAAACTAAAATAAATCCTTAAATTATGTATTTTTTACTTTAATTCTATAAATTATTTTATATAAGCCCCAAAATTATGTTCTTAAATCATTATTTTTATCAAAACAAGTATTTAATTTTATGTGACATGCCAACTTCATATTAGCTAGGGAAAAATTCTGATAGAAAAAACGACGACTTAGAATAATTACATATAATAATTTAAAGATTTATTTTGATCAGAAAATAATTTTAGGACTTGAAGCAAAAGGGCATAATTTAGAGGTTTATTTTTACATTTATGAATTGTTATGTATATTTATTTACGCGCATGTCTATTGTGATTAGAACACTATATATTAAATTATATTTTGAGGTATTTTATTATTAGAATTTTATAGGGTATCTACACCTTATGTTTATACACAATTTATATTGGGAAAATAATACAGAATTCTCTCATTAATCTCTTACTCTTCTAATTGTTTCATTTTTTTTATTTCATAACACGTTATTAACACGATTTGCTCAGAAGCAACAACTTATTTACATCGAATATCAAATTCATTATCCACAATTCTTCATTCAAGATCTTAAATGATAAAGATCGTATTTTCAACCATGTCAATACACCACAATCTTTGTAACACCCTCAACCCGTACCCGACCCGAATACGAGTCCAGGATGTCACATTGAAAATATATTAAATGTGCATCGGTACACCTTGGATGTGCATCGATGCACATTGCCCATAAATGTCATTTTAGCACGAAAATCTCTTCATAATATTCTCAACACTTTATGTTTCCCCTCTTTTTATATTCCTAACTTGCATACACTTACTTAAACTAATTATTATCTATTCAATACCTTTAAAACTTAGAAATCAAATCTTCCACATAGATTTCAAGAATCTCCTTTAAATTCCAGCATGTTTTAAATCTAATTCTGACCCTTCATATCCTTTAATTCTAGTAATGACAAGTAAAATTTAGTCTTAAAATCTAATTAATACATTCCTGTCAATATTTCACTTATTCACCTCTTTTCTTTAATCCTTCCTAACTCCATCATCTATTGATTTTAAGATAATCTAAGCTTTCCTTAAGCTTAATTATCATCTAATGATCAATAAGCAACCTTAAATTCGTCAAGAATTTGATCAACAAGAAAACTCACCTTTAGCTTGACTTCACGGTGGAGAAGAAGAATGAAGAATAAGAGAAATCTAGAAACTTTGGTCTTCCCCACTAACTTCCACGTGGTATAAAATATCCTCAACTAATATTTAATTATTTCCCTTATTAAAAGACTTATTTACCCCTTTAGTTCCTCCTTCTTTGCTAATTGCTCCTACACAAAACATTTAAATCAATTCTTTGAACTTTTAATTTATCCAATTTGATTACTGAATTTTTAAATCTCACAATTTGACCACTAACCCGGTATGGAGGATGTTACAATCTTAATATAATATATTTTTATATAAATTAGCACATTATATATCTTTGTCTAAATATCGATAATATATATTTTTTGGTTTGATTGTATGATAAATTTTGATTGAAATTTTATATAGTTGTCGAATAATATGACAATTGATTATTAATCGTATATTTACTTTCTATTGATCAATTAAAAACTTAAAATTAATTTTTATGATATAAATTTAATTTATTCCGTTAAGATAATTTAGAATTGTGTTAGTATCGATTTTGAACATTGTGTGGGTACTCATCATTCTTCACATGTAGCCGACTCTTAAACCATTTCAAGTGAATATTTGATAAAATATAAATCCAATAAAAAGGTAATATCTAGATATATGACCCTACATAACTCACAAAATCAGTGACAATTTAAAAAAAAACATGTAAATAGAGATTTGATCTTGAATTTTTGAAAGATCTTCTCGATAGATACTTTTTATTTTGCTCTTTTTTGAAATCATAAAATTTTAAAAGATATATTTGATCAATTACATTTTGATTTAAATAGTTGAGTAAGTTTATATGTGATAAGGACATGTGACGTTTGGAGGATAAATAAAAGGGTAAACTACACAAATCACAATCAATGCTTGAAATTTTTTTATTTTCCTCACTGTAGTTTCATAAATAATAAATTGGTCATTAGTTTTATTGATTTGTAACAAATTGGTCACTAATGTTATCTATTTGTAACAAATTAGTCACTAACATTATCGATTTTAAACAAAATGGTCACTCTACCGTCATCCCAGTCAAATTGACGATGTGGCAACGTTAACAAAAAGGTTAATATTTAGATTTACTCTCAAACTATTGTTAAAACATCAAATACGTCCTTAAACAATAATTTTATATCTAATTTACCCTAAAAGGTTTCTAATTTTCATTTTTTTCCAAATACCCCACCACCTCCCCTATATTCACGAATTAATTAAAATCTATTGTAGAAGCCAATCATGGGTTAGCCATTGTTGCAATTTGCACTTTAAAAGCTATTGCAGAAGCCAATGTGCCGGAAGAAGTCCCACTGCAATGGAAGTGTTGTGTGAGACATGTTGGCAAAATAAACCTTGAACCAGCTGGGTTCACTACAATGGAAAGATGAAGCAGAAGAAATATTCAATCTAGCTAGCATGGCTTATAATATTGTCCCACAGTTTTTTTTTCTGCCTCGAATGTGTTAGAAGATAAGAGATGTCTCATGTGAATGTCAACCCAGCAGAACAAGAAATCACGAGTGGCAAAGGCAATGAGGTCCTTAAGCTAAAAGATAGCCTGCTATCAAATAATTACAAAAGACAGTTTATTTTAATGGTGTTGTAAATATATAGTACAGAATCACTAACATTCAGATACTAAAATAGTTTCCATGCTTGGGCATTTTAGTTCAATGGGGAAATGTCTTCAAAAGAGACTCTACCATTGTTGCAATTTATATTATTAATTTAGATATTAATTCTTGAAGATAGTAGAGGTGGGAGTGTTGGAAAAAATAGAAATTAAATTTTTTGGGGTAAATTAGATATAAATCATTGTTTGAAGGTATATTTATGTTTTAACACTAGTTTTGGTGTAAAACTAATATTAACCTTAATTTGCTAAAATCGATAATGTTAGTGACCAATTTGTTACTTATGAAACTTTAGTGGAAAAAGAAAACATACTAAAAAATTGGTGACCATATATGTAGTTTACCCTTAATAAAAATAGTGTTAATTAAATTTTCAAATGATAATATTTTGGTAAAAAAAAACCCCAGGTAACTGTACAAGTGCATTATTCTCTCACTGCCATCTGCCGGCTATCTTCTCTGCCCTAACATAAGAGTTGGTTTAGGGGTTTTTGAAATTTGTCCTTGGGATCTTCAGTCTCAACAAAGTTTTAATCATGGTAACTCCACATCCCTTCTAATCCTTTTTCGTTTATTTAATGTTATGGGCTCTCGTCTCTCTCTCTCTGAATTCAACAAATTGAAGAACATTTTTTAGGCTTTTGCTTAATCATAAAGGTTATTATTCGCTTTTGAATTCTGTTTAGCTTTTTCCCCTCTTAGTATATATGTTTGATGGTTTTGATTTGCTGTAATTTCGTTATTTATGTTCGTTTTTATTTCTTGGGCATTTGATCTTATTGATATGATTTATGCTGATTTTTTTGTTTTTCGTTAAGGTTCTTCTGCAGCCAGACCCTTTTCTTAATGAACTTACGAGCATGTTTGAGCGAAGCACTGAGACCGGCTCTGTTTGGGTTACTCTTAAACGATGTAAGAATTTCCCGATTTCTTTAGGTTTTGGGAGCTTGAATTTCAAACAGTGGATTTGGATTTCAGAAATAGGATTGATATTTGTAAAACTGAAATTTATGGCAATCATGTTGGATCTCTGCAATTTACACATAATGTATGCATGTTCTGTTTTGAAATCTGAATTTTGAATTTTATGTTTCCAACCGTGGAATTCAATTTATGTTGGATCTCGCAATTTATGTTACAAATGGAATTCAGATCTAAATTTTGAAATTCATGTTTCCAACCATGGCATTATTTTTCTTGGATGTTTTCTATGTTAGATTTTCATTAATGCATTTAGTTTTTCATCTTCATTAGCATCTTTGAAGTCGAAGGTTCAAAGGAACAAACTGAAGACTGCTCAACAGCCCATCGAATATCGATGCCTTATTCGTGCAACTAATGCAAAAAAGACAATTTCTACTTCGGTATGTCCCTTTTTCCTTTGTGTGTTTTTTTTTGGGTTAAATGGATAAAACACTTGTTTTTGATGAAAAATTGACCTGGCGGGGTGAATGCATTGGTTGAGTGAGTCTATGAGTATTTGTTGTGGTATGCACTAATAAACCATTTGTTTTGGTATGCACTAATAAACCAATCGTAATCTTCCTGGAAGACTAATACATTTCTGTTGGGAGCTCCATTTGAACCTTGTATTTCCAGTATGATGAATTATATACGGCACTGATGATTGATCTGGTATGCATTATGCCAGACATTCTGGGCACACTTAATTACTCGTAAATATGAGTCTCTTGTTGTCAGCAGAAAATACACATTGCAATCTCCATGGAAGAGTAACACATATCCATTGGAAGCTACGGTTCAAGCTGTCTAATTCTGGTAGATGAAATTATATGGCACTCATGATTGACACTAGGGTTAGCCCTAGATTTGAATCTTATTATATTAACTTGTTCGTAGCCCTAGATTTATATGTCTAATAATCAATAAATAAGACAAATAATAAATAACACGATAGTAAAGCTCTTGTCTCAATTGCACTATGAGGGAACAGAAAAGCATCTGGTTGAGTTGATGGGAATTATGATCTTACCCAATGTCTTAAATAGTTTAGCCTTAAAGTAGTGCAAAATTGGATAGGCTCCAAAGTAACCGATGCTTGTATTCTTTGTTGAAACTTAAAGTACGTTGCCACATTGAGTGTGAAAATTTGAGTTTCAGATGGTATTTGATATCATGCATCAACCCAAAATGAAATATTTTGACTTGTACAAGCCTATATTATCCTGACTTGGTGCAAGTGTGGGATATGTTATTCATCGGATTTGGGTATGCTCAATTCTTTCCAACTTTTTGCTTGTATTTGGAAGATCAATGGAGATGCATAACTCTTGCCCTCATACCTATATCTGAATATGCATTGGACATGGGCACTTGTAGTAAAATAAAAGAAACGAAGAACATAATATCTAAAACCGAAATGTTTCTTTAATAGCATTCAAATGGAAATCTTGTAAACTGACCTATTTGTTAGGTGTGCAAGCTGAAAATGGTAGTACGATGGTGGCAATACTAGTCTATTGATTCTCGGACTGACCTTGTATTAATGTGTTTTTATTTGTAAGGTGGGAGTGAAGGATCACCAGCGCTTCCAAGCATCGTATGCCACCATTCTGAAGGCTCATATGGCTGCATTGAAGAAGAGGGAGAGAAAGGACCGGAAAAAGGCAGTGGAGGATAAGAAAGAAAGTGGTTCAAAGAAGCCAAAAAGAGCTTGAAGGACATCTCTTCCAGCTGTTGTTTAAACTTTCCATTTTCGTCCAGCTTTCATCCTCACCTCGAATATGGTTAGGTTCTTTTCTTTTTTTCTTGAAAACCCCAAAACATTCTTTTGGTTTAAGCAAATTACATTGATTGAAGACTTGGAATTTTGGTTGAATGCCCCTGAGGTATGATTTCGGTGGACTCTTTTCTCCTTTTTCAGCAGGTTGATGATGATTTTTCTTGATTCTAATAATAAGATTATATAAATATGAATTGGTAAGGGAGTATCATTGGGTGTACTGAGAGTAAAAGTATATTTTGTTTAAGATTTTAGCAAAAATAGACAAATGGAAGTTTTGTTTTTGTTTTCCATTGCACTTTAAAAACATATAAATCATATTACTAGCTATGGGCCGATTATGAGTGTGAAATGTGATGGGCTTATTTGGGTTTAGGCGTAAAATTATTTTTTTATCCTTAATCGTCGTACAAAATAATTAAATGAGTCTCGCTCAAGAGTAGAGTTGTCGCTCATAAAATTGATCTGTAAATTGCCTCCGCGCGAGTGAAAAGTAAAATTTCAGCATGTGCTGCGTTAAAGAAATGTTACTATGAGGGAGAGAATTCCTTTGGTGATCCCCAAGTTCAACACGATTGGAGAAGGAACATGCGATAAAGAAAGCCAAGAACAAAGAAGTTCACCGAAAGGATAGTATGGAGGTGAATACAGATGGTAGAGGATGTATGTAACGAGAAGGTTTGAAAAAACGAGACCTCTTAGGAACAGATGGAATATATTCCATCAAACAAATGTGTGTTGGGCATTACTTGGCTCGTCCAAGATTATGGAGATAATATTTCGCTTCAAGCCATGGATGCCGTTGAAATTGCTGATGAAGATTTTATTGTTAATCTTAGTGGCCCAATTCCCTCCATTCGCTTCTCTGAAGAAGTCCACGAGAGAATCGACTGTACATGGGACACGCAATAATTGCTCGACTCCTTGGACGTCCGATAGGATACCGGAACAAACCACTATTACCTTGTATTAGGATTGATGTCTTCACACGAAAATTGATTTATGAGGGCCTCCAATAAATAAGCTCCAAGTGTGGAGTGTATGGTCATGCGAAAAAAGTATGTGGCCCGAACGAAATACTGAAAGATAACAAACACAGCGATGGATGGTAGCAGAACATAGAAAAAAAAAATAGGACGCTGGGACACGAGAAACAAGGAAAGGGCTCAAGAAAATAAGTCGGGATCAAGGTTTCAATTTCTTGAAGAACTGCATAAAGATGGGTTGGGGGTGGGGTGGGGTGGGGTGGGGGAAGGCTCTAAACAATCAAACCAATGAAGCTGAAGCTAGCTCGAAGTATGGAAATGATAAAATGACAAATGTAAACAAGGAAATACACATGAAGCACAAGATGAAGATGTTCCCGAGATCTTGTTGATGTCGAGGTGGCTGAGGGCTTCAAGCCTAACCTACTCCGATTATATCACAGCTTCCTTACGTTCTTAATGATGGTGGATATATTATTTTGGAATTGTCCGGGCGTGTCAAGCCTATCCTTCATACACTGTTTCAAAGAGTTTTACGGGATGCATCATCCGAAATTAGTGGCACTATTTGAAACACGAATCAGTGGTGCTAATGTTGACAAGGTAATTCGACGATTGGGATTTTCGAACTCATTCAAAGTTGAAGCCCATGGTTTCGGTGGTGAGATATGAATTTTATGGAACGAATCTGTGAACGTTGAGTTCCTTAGTATGTCGAACCAATTCGTACACGGGGGCATTTCACAGTCTAATTGGCTACTCTTCGTTGCACTATACAGTATACACCAGCCCTCATATATTAAAATGTAAATATTTATGGGGCCAACTACCTAAACGAATTTACATGGAAACGTGGGAACCTCAAGAAAAGACTTGAAAGATGCTTGATGAATAATTGCTGGGCAAATAAACACCCTATTGTTTTGGTAGTTTATTATCGTATCCTAGAATATCGACGTCTAACGTTACTCAAAGCACCAAAGAGATGACGAATCTATTTTAAGGAATTCGTTTATACACGCCTCATCAACAATTCTTCTATTTATCTGACTCTTCTAATTTGATTCAATGTCTATATACGAGTAATTAATTTCATTCTTTAATTTTAATTTTATATTTATTTTGTTTTGTTCGATTCGATAATAATATCATCTTCTATTTTACTGATTAATGTTTTATCTAACATTATTCTAATTAAAATTTTAACAAGATCTTAAGTTGTCTTAGTGGTTATGCATGAGACATTTTTCCTTGAAGTCTTTGGTTCAAATTTCATTAAATGCATTTGAATCAAAACAATACGATCTTATTTTAATATTTAAAGTTTAGTGACATCTAGTATAATTATCTGAAAAATAATTATTAGTATAATACTATCATGTTAGTTTCATGTAAAAAAAATTATAGAATATCTTAATATTTAATTAAAATTCAAAATTTCACTAAAAATATAACACTTCAAAAATATATATAGATCTAAATATTCTTCACATCCAAGGTATAGGCTGATCTCATAATTCATAATTCAAAATTATAAGCATTGTTCAGTTCAAAATTATAAGCATTGTTCAGTTCAAAATATATGAAATTTGTCGTTTTCTCCTTAATAAAAGATTAATTTTAAAATAACAATTCACGAGGCTTGGAAGTTAGGTCACCACAGCTGACTCCTGATCAATTATTTGCATTAAATAAATAAATAAAAATTAAAAAGTTTATTAAAATATAGAAATTCAAAAAATACTCTATTTTTTATTTGTTCGATTCTAATCTATCAGAAACATAATTCGATCTTGATGTCATATCAATTTTTAGGGATGTTCACTCCTCATGTTTAACTCTATTAATAGGTAGAACCGAATTAATTCGGTTAAAACAGTCGACCATCAAACTAGTTCGGTCAGAAAACTGTTTTTTTTTTCAATATTCGATTAACTGTTAATTCGGTTCAAAATCGGTTAATTAATCGAAATATATATTACATATATATTTTAAGCTCAAACTCATTAAGAATTAATATCAAATTATTTTTTAACTATATTAGACTCACTAAATTATTAATACATTATTAAAATTTAACCCAAATAAAAAACATACCTCTATTAAACTCAAATTAATCCAACTAAATATTCTCTATTGAAATTTCTGGGAGATCCTTCTCGTTTTCTCTTGTACTGAATAGAGGATATTTTTTTTACCATAAACTCAATTTTAATCAGATATGATCATACCTTAAAAAATACAACCTAATTCGATCCGAACTCAAATTTTTAAAATAAAAATTTGACACATAAAGAGATTTTTCCTTCGTTATTTCTTCCCCTGGTAGCTCTTGATAGGGCTGGGAGCCTTTGACCCTTTGTTCCTCTTGACTTAATGGTGATCCCGATTTTTAAAATAAAATTAATAATTTAAATCATGAAGTTTTAAATATAAAAAAATAAATTAAAATTATAATAAATTATATTTTATAACATTCAATTTGAATTAGTAAAATATCAGTTATTATATAAAAAAGTATGTAGCAATATATTAACTAGGGTCCAAAGTACATATTTAGTCATTCAACTATTATTTTAGTTCAATTTTGATCAATCAACTTTTTTTAAAAAAAATCAATATTGATATTACGTTTTAGTTTTATTTTGATAATCTGTTGTTGAAAAATTAAAGGTGATGTTCATGTGTCACAATAAGATAATGTCACACCATCATTAAAAACATATCACATCAACAATTCTATTAATTTTTTTAATAATAAATGACCGAACATAATGTTAGTGATGATTTTAAAAAAAAATAACTAAGTGACCGAAACAGAACAAAAGTGATAATTGAATTACTAAAATGTACTTTGCCCAAATTTATATTTAAAGTAATAATTGACAGGCCTTGGAAATTAGGCCACCACGGCTGACACATAATCAACTAATTTCATAAAAAATATAAAAAAAATTCTTCAATTTTATTTTAAAAAAAATTAATAACAATATAAAAAATTAAGAATAGAGACGGATCTAAATATTCTTCGCATTGAAGAATAGAGATGGTAACGTATCTGGGCGCACAGATTTTTGCATGCTTTGACACAGTAAAGATATAATTTAATTTTGGTATTATTTTATTTAAAATTTAATATATTGAATTTGATATGGATTTAGTCTTAAAATAAATAGTAATTTGACCTTGATTTGATTTAAAAAATAAAAAAATGATTTATTTTGATATAATTTTTTTAAAAAATATCATAAATATTAAAAACATTAATATAAAATAATTAGAAAACTAATAATACATTTTAATAAATTTATTAAAACGATATAATTTTTTGGGTAAATTACATATTTAGTCAGCCAAACTATTCCTATGGTTTGATTTTGGTCATCCAACTATTGTTTTTTCAAAATCATACCTAAAATTACGTTTTAGTTTTGTTTTGATCACTTATTGTTAAAAAATTAACAATGATACATAAAATTATATATTAATGTCAACAATCTATACTCTCTAGAGCAGATGATTAAAAACGCTCAGTTGACACCTCCTCTCTCCCCTAGGTTGTGGATTTAATACCCTTAGTAGTAAAACTTCTCCTTCCCATCTCTTAGGTAGGAATTGTTAATAAAAATAATCTATTAATGGTTTATTTGTATAAATTTCACAAATTATGATTATTTCCAGGGTAAAATTTTCAAATGATCACTTAACTATGGGGTTGGTGTCGATATGACAACCATACTTTTAATTTTGATAATATGACAACATTGCTATTTAAGTGGTTTCATTGTAACATCCTTAATACCGGGTTAGTGACCAAATTGTAATATTTTAGAATTTGGTGATTAAAGTGGAAGAGTTGAAAAGTTCAGTGATTTATTTGAAAATATTACCTTGAAGATGCTAGTAATTATAAAATGTATTAAAGGGCAAAAGGGTCATTTGACCAAGAGATGAATAAAATAACGATATATATATATGGATAAGGATGAGAGATTTTTCCAGAAAACTCTTCTCTCTTTTTCTTCTTCATCTTCTTCTTCCTCCCGTGAAGCTCCAAGGCAAAGATAAGATTCCTTGTAGCTGATTATTTGTTAATTTTAAGAGTGGGTTTTGATCCTTAGGTAATATTT